AAGTCATCCAATTGCAGATGGACAGCCACCAGGGGGGAGAGACTACGTCGACTTGGAGACTCGCTGGGAGAATCATCCTGATGTTGCAGTAATGTGAAAAGAATCTCACATACGTGGAACTTTTCGAAGGTTGCCAAGGACGCTGCGGGATGCCTCCGGGGTTAGCAACATCGCCGCGGCTTGCTCCCGGATGACCATTGGGAAACCATTGGGAAACCCCTCCTCCCTAGCGCAATTTTGATCTCGTTTGCCGTGAGCTTCTCTTGGAGTGCCTGTCCGCCGCCGCTCCCAAACCGACAGGAAGGAAGGTTGGGGTAGAAAGCCTGTAAGACCTAAAGCTTCGAGCGCGCGCCAAGACCCAATTGTACCCGATATCGGATTTCCCTCACGCTGTCCGTTGCATTATCGCAGCGCTTCAATAGTCGAACGTCAAGGAGCGATCTTTTCCTTTCGACGGAAGTTGATCGTTAGTCAGGCTCGCTTGATAAATCTTCATCAGTCCCGTCGCTCAAGACCTTGGACACGCTTAAACAAGAAACAAAACATCTGCACGAGCTGGTCGTGCAGAGAGCAAAAGTGGCTTACTTTTTGCTGCTATCGCGGTCGCCGCGACGGAGCTGTGGGTTGAATTGATTCTGTGGGGTTGCGCAAACCACTACAACTTTGAACATGGCGACGCGCTACGTTTTCTCTCCATGTCCCCGACAAGACATCGACCTACACATAGCCTCGCTCCACCTCGCACCTCCAGCCCCGTTGTCAAACTAGGAACTCGAACTCGCCCTCAGCTTTTCTACCACACTGAGTCAAGGAGTCCCGGGCACTGAACCACAAAAGTGGAGTACCGAGAAAAGAAAAATGGGAGCGGAGCAATATAAGGGGACACAGGAGTTCCCCTAAGCGCTGTTTTCCCCTTGTCCCCAATGACCCCGCCGACCACGTTGCAAGCGCCGGTACCTCATCGAAAACTAGGACCGTCGCAGCTCCCGAAGCAAATCGATCTCGCTCTCAGCTTCTGCACCCAAGGAGTAGATAGGACCGGCGATGGGAGCATGGGCTGTCCCCTGCACCTGCTTTTTTCCCCCTCATCTCTCAGGTAGGACCTTTACTTCGGGATATCACACTTCACGATGGATGACATTCGACTTACCAAGTATGCCCTTCTCCAACGCCGCCAAAGGAAGTAACGTTTGCTGCCCCTCAACGTATCAAGAGTCGGACGAACCATGTTTTCCTTGGAGTCTTAGAGGGAAAAATTGCTTTCTTTTCGTCTGGCTCGCTTCACACACCATGTTGATGTTGAGAATTTCGGGCCACTTTCTCGGTGGATGTCCACAAGCCGGCGGCGTCAAGAGTCAAAATGCTTCCGAGTGGAACTCATTCGAACGTTTCTTGAACGAAGTCGTGCAGATCCCCCTTGCCATGGTCCCTTCCCTGAGCCCCAGAAGCGAGACGACGGGGAACGTTACTTGATGAGGCCTGGCTGCGATATTTTTTGTACCAGAGGTTCTCGCCTCCTTGAGCGTTTTGTTTCCCATGCTTCGCCGTGATGCCGGCTACTCAACTCCCGGCAAACACTGACGACGCATTTACGGTCCCTCAATTTCGCACGCGCGTGTTCGTCTCCCGATTCTCGGTGGAGGTGGTTTGTTTTCGGCAGTGAGTGGAACCTGAGGTAAGGACATGCCCATTCCCTCGTCCCTGTTTTGTTTCTCACTTTTCGTCCCGAGGCAGTTGCAACTCGCAAGCATCGGCGTCTGAATTCCTTCACTCCGTTTCCCACATCCAGCGCAGGGGCGATAAACTGATTTCATCCTTCAGTCGGCCTCTTAATCACCAAAAGTTACTACGCCATTTCTCGAGCAAGGCCCAAGCAGTAATGGGTACTGTGTGAGCAAGGCCTGAGGGGGTAGTCCTGACGATGATAGGTCCTCGATTCTTCTCCTATTCGGGAAAAAATGAATAGCTGCTCTGACAACTTTGGCTGTTGTGTGGCGGCCCAAGCGGTCCTCGAAGTCACTACCACGCTCTTGCGCGACCTCAGGCAGAAAATGAACCCGAATCCCTCGTCGCTCACCCTGGCCCTTCGATTGGGGCGGAGGTGGCTCGAGATGTTCCCGGCTCAGGCTGCCTCTGCCTCGACTGTCGATGAAGTGCTTAGGACAATAATGTGGTCGGCGTGGCTGATGCCATTCTCTGACCGACGAACTCTCCCCCTCGCCTGCTGCCGCGTGAGCAAGGCGTGGTACCATCTCGCACGTGAGACGCTACTCGCCGACCTCGAATATAGCGAACCTAGCCGCTTTCCTATGCTTGCGCTGGCGCGCCTTGCCAGCGATACCTTAATGCGCGAGCCTGACCGCCGTCTGCTTCCGACCCGCCGACTTCACTTCGATTTCGCCTCTTTCCCGGTGCCGCTGATGCCGGTCCTCCGCCTCGCCCTCCCAATGCTCGCAAATCTCCGCGTTCTCGAAATCGCGACCTACAACCACAGTATCGGGGCATCCCCTATGACGTTGGCACCCATCGCCACTATTTTGGGCACGTGTCCCCGATTAGTCGGGCTTATCTGGAAGCACGCGAACATCATCTTTGATTCCTCCCTTGAATCCTCGGTCGGCAATGAAATATGGGCTGCCATCGACGGGCCCCTTAAGAAGCTCGCCCTGTTGAACCTCGACTCAACTGGAATTCCGTAGTTCGAAAGCAGCACTATTCTGCGACTTAGTCAGGCAATCGGACCACCGATTCGCCGGTGGGTCGTGACTGGACATGAGGACCTCTCCTCTCTTGAGCCGACCGCGGCTCAAAACCTCGAGTATTTGGCCATCCAGGGTTGGCTCAGCGAATCCCCGTCCCCCAAAATGCGAACCAGCTTCTTCGCGAGCCTTGCTACTCGTGCTCCTTCGCTACGCAAAGTGCGGTTCCTATGTGACAACCTCACAAACGATGAGGAGTCCATCATCGAACTCATCAACAGCTTTCCTGGCATCGAAGAGCTCGATCTCGCCTATCAATTTAATCTCACCGATGCCGCTCTCGCCCCGCTCCACAACCATCGCCCACTCAAAGTCCTCGGCATCGACCTAACGTCCTTCTCCGCGCCCTCCGTCGTCGCTCTCCTCGCAGCCCGCGGCTCCATCCTTGAGTCCTTCGACATCAGCGAGACCGCATGGCCCACCCACGAGAGCGTCCACTCCCTCGCCCGCCACACCCCAAAGTTGTCGGTTCCGCTGCTCTTCGACGATTGCCCGAACCTCCCATCCACTCACTCCACCATCGACCAGCTCAGGGCGAGCTTCCCCTCTTTTGCGGTTCGTCGTCCTGTTGCAAGTGGACCAAGACGCGCTGCCGGACGGCATCAAGGAATTTCCGGACGCAGAGGAAACGTTTCCTGCGTGGGAGCGCTCGGTTGTCAGGGGGATGGTGACCCGGCGGATTGCGGGGATCCTCTGACTCTTTTGACGGCGGTCGGCGGTTTGCTTTCCGAGTTTCATTCGGGGTTGATCTTTGGGCGGCGCAGGGCTTGGGGCGATAGAGGGCTAGTTTTGCGGCACTGGATAGTTACGGAGTGCGCGAAGCGCGGGGTTGGAATGGGGGGAGAGGGGGGAGGCGTCGGTCGATCGCAGCGCTGTTGATATTTGTGCATCGTTTGGCGTGTAGGCACATAGCCCTAGTTTGAAGTCAAAATAAAATCACAGACCATTTGCTTGTGGAAGAGGCGAAGATATCAGGCGAGGAAATGGGGCAAGGACCAAATCGGCGACGAAGACTGGGGAAGGCGCCTCATCCAAAGAAAAGTTTCCCGGCCCCAGGATTTGTGGGCGCTTTAATCTTCGCTCCTCACTGCTCGCTTTGACCGCCTGGGTCAAAACTTCGGCGCAATCCATGCCATTGTGACGCTGAGTTTGCAGGCGCGACAGCGGTACGGCAGGGTCAGGCCTGGAGATCGACGAGAAAAAAAAGAAGAAAAAGACGTCGGACATGACGTCAAAGAGGCGGCGATTCGCGACCAAGGAAATCCTCACTAGGAGAGCAATGCGAGGGATCGAAGGAGCCCTGGGACTCGCGCTGGGCGCTCTTGTTTTCTTTGCCTGCCTAGTTTTTCGTGGTCCTCCTCGCTTCTTCTCAGGCTCACCTTCGATAATACATGAGTAATATTATTATTTCGAGCTGGCTCGGGGAAATAATATCGGGGGACCGCGAGTCTTGCTCACGGCAGCACGAATTTGTAAGCCATTCCTCCGCCGCGTCCGTAACGATTGCGATCGCTTCGTCTCGGGGTGTGCTCCGTGCTTCTCCAAGAGGGCAAACCCAGAACTTTTGTCGCTCGTTAGCCGGAAACCCTCAGAACCAACGTCGAGGGCAAAATCATCGCACAAACCTGCTCTACTGAGAAAAATGACCGCGGAAAAGTTCCGTCAGTTGGAAGCTCTTCACCGAGCAGGGTCCAGGAGCTGGAAAATCATCGCACAAACCTGCTCTACTGAGAAAAATGACCGCGGAAAAGTTCCGTCAGTTGGAAGCTCTTCACCGAGCAGGGTCCAGGAGCTGGGGGGCGGGGCGGAGAGGATCCCTTCCCGTTACTGTTTCGCGATGGTGGTCAATTGTGACAAGGTCAGTGTGAAGTTGCGGAGGAAATTACAAAACCAGGGAATACCACAATAACATGCGTGAAACGCATCACCACCCCACCGCATTGGTTCCGTCCGGGACCAAACCGGAGACCTACAGTGTGTTAGACTGTTGTGATAAACCAACTACACCACGGAACCCTGACTATCCCTGCAAACACAAAATTAATATACTCTTAGAACAAAAACGATGAATATCTATCTATTGGAAGTCTGATGAAACAATCCATGGAGGTTCTATTGAATTGCGTTTGTTTGAACGGGGTCGAATTGAGAAATGGAACCCTCCCGTCTGGCCCCCTCCCCACACGTCAGTCCCGTATGCACTGTCGCCAAGCAAGGGAGGTTGCCCATCCTCAGAAAAAAAAACCTAACGTGAGTCAGGCTTTCGCATGACCGCCGTCCCCCGGTGAGTCGGTTGGCCACAGGCGCTGGGCGCAATTCTGTCGCAGCAGAAACGCTTCAGCCGCAGGTCAGAAAAAGTGCCGAAAGCCGACTTCAGTATCTTTTTTTAGGGACGATGAGTGAGGGATAGGGGATCGTTGTCTCTGTTGAAAAATCGGGAACGTGATGGGTGGGTCTGGCGAGATTCAGTGAAAAGAGGAGGGAATAATTGCTGCTTAAGAGCATCTCCACCTCGAGCGAAAACGAAAAAGGGGATCGACACTAAACATTCAAGGTGGCCGATAGGTTTGAAGACCAGATATGTAGTAAGCTAGATGATCCGGACGTTGCGGTAGCCCATTGCGGAATTCTCAAAGTCGATGAAGAGCAGGGCGGACAATTTTGGGGTACTGCGGCTGATGGAGCGAGCACCTAGGGGGTCGGCCACGTGTTCCCGCGGATGTCCAGCCCCTCGAGGAAGGAACCACGGGCGACGAGAAGAGCAGAGACGGCGGGGTCAGTGAAGGGCGTGTATTGGATGCCGAGGATTTTCAGCGGGCGGTGGGTGTGAAGCGGGAGCAGCGCGGCGTCGGTGAGCATTCTTTGACGTGCGAGATCGAGCTCCTCGATTCCGGGAAAGGCGGTGACGAGGTCGAGGATATCGTGGTCTTCTATGAGACTTGGGGAGGTTAGGCAGACTTTCCCGAGGAGAGGGGCTTGCGGAGCGAGACTCGTGAAGAAGTCGGCCCGGATACCGAGCCATTGCATGGCACCGAATCTCTCCATACTGTGGCAGAGCAGGAACTCAAGGTCCTGGCATGCACCGGGCCCCAGCGAGGAGAGATCTTTCTGGCCCGTCACCGTCCATTAGCGGATGGGCGGCCCGACTCCCTAGATGAGCCGGAACATCGGTGCCTCTGCAGGAGCACGGAAGCGGAAAAACTGCCCGACAGCCTTCTCGACGGTAACCCACTGTGACTCATAGAGCGAGTCTCGATAACAGTGAGCCCCGACGTTCCATATAACGGCCAAGAGTCTGTCACTGACCCAGAAAAGGGAAGCGACAGCCCCCAAACTCGCCGCCCTGCAGTCATCGGTGATATTGATGGCGCGGAGATTCACGAACATGGGGAGAGCGATACGGAGCAGCGGGAATGGGGGCATTGAGGGGGCGCCCGCGGCAAGGTGGAGGCGTTTTTTTTTTGCCCTAAGCCGTCCCCATCGATGGTTGAAGTCAGGAGCGGCATACTCGAGAAGAGGTGGACGAGGGTTCAAGGCGACGGAGCTCAGATCGATCTTCGACCTGGTTCAGCGGATACCGGAAGGATGGGGGTGAAAATCAGGTGGAGGGGGGGGGGGGGGGGGAATAAACCTTACAGATGCGACTGATGCGCGCCATCCCTGACAACCTTCGACCTCCACGTCCTCACAATCAGGCCATTTGGGCCATTTTTGCCGCTTTTGCTCCCGCGACCACACGAGCCAGGGCCTTTGATCACAGTGAAGGATAAAGGTTCCAAGTCGACCCCCCACGTACGGACTCGATGATCTTTTGTTGCAACAAAAAAACCCCACAGAAAACGACCCTCGCTACGCCTCCTTCCAAACAGGGCCACCGGGACACGGAGCACATCACCAGCACAACAATAAGGCTCCTGCGGCACACACAACCATCAAGCCGAATCCCAAATCCATCACCAAGGCGAGAACGATTCACGGGACTCCGGCCAGTCTCCGGGTCGACAGCCCGAAGGTACAAAGGGTCCTCGGAACTCCACTCTCGGAATGCGACCCCGGTCTCTGGGAGCGGTCCGATTATCGGTGCCGACTGGGACCGGAAGGATGGGATGTATACGCGAAGACTGGGTATCAACCGATAACCTGGATGCTGAAACGCCTCCTTTGGACCCAGTCTGCGTGCTAAAAGAGCCCAGAAGCGGAGAGTGGAAGGTTCATTTTCACCCTCGAAGGTGTGAAAAAGAAAGACGATTGAAAATGGAGAAGTGGGGGAGGGATCTGAGGGCGATCCGGAGAAGGCGCATCCAAGAAGTCGCCCTGGAGAAACCCCCGCAGCTCCGTCTTGATCTGTTCAACGAGGTGGACGACGAAGAGTAATTGGACTGGCGCGGGGCTCGGGGCGAATGCCGCGCGGGCTGAAGGAGGGCACGAGAGAGAGGAGGTTGAGGGAGAAGAGAAGAAATTCGAGCAGAACCTTCACGCTCCCCCTGTTCGTCCCCATCCGGGGGAGGGGGGCGAGGGGGAGAAGGGAGCCGAAAAGTGTGCCCTCATGCTCCCGCTCCCCATCATCGCCCCCCTCCCTCTCATTGTTCCCTCCCCCTCTTCGTCTCCCTCTCCCTCTCCGCCTCCCTCTCCCTCATCGTCTCAATCCCCCTCATTTTCCCCCTTTCCCCCCGGTGGCGAGGTGGAGGGGGAAGATGAGGGCGAAAGAGAAAGGGAGCCGCTCACGCTCACTCTCCCCCTCTGCAGCCTCCTACCCCTCATCGTCCAGCTCCTCAACCTCCACAACCACCTCCACCTCGCAGCCTACCGGCTCCTACCCGCTCGCCCCGTCCTCCACTCCGATTTCGCAGCTAACCCTTCCTCGCCCAGTCTCCCACCCCTCCTCATTGCCGATTGGCGACCCTGAAGTCCTCGCGGCGAAAGCTGATACCTTTGTTGCCGGTGCTTTTAGTTGGCGCGCGGGCGACCCCCAGAACAATCGGGTTGGAGGGGGAGTGGAGTGGGGAAAGGAGGTTGAGGGAGTTAGGGGGTGAGGGGCGTGCGAGGGGCTTAAGGGGCATAAAGATTATTTTTGCAAAATACCAAACTTAAGTTCAACGCGAACTCCGCCCGCCATCTCCCGCCGTTTTTCCAACCCGTCTCATTTGCTCCAAGGTAATTAATTGCCTTGGACTCCACGAAATGCTCCTTTGCCCCGGCACTCGTCGGGTGACTTGCTGCTGCAAATTACTTTTTCGTTTGGGGTTCGGACTGGGCAGGAAGTGCGCGACGCAGCATTGCTCACCGTTCGCCGCTCTCTTAACAACCCTTGGAACTGAACTGTTCAACGGCAAGGTACTGGTCCTCCATTTTTAACTCACTGTCCGCCCACGCACCTCCAGTTAACAACGTCCTACCGGCAACTCCCAGGATGTCGAACCGTCGCCGGCCACCCGGAACACCTACATCCCGCCCGAGCTCCTGCAGCAGATCTTCGTGCACCTGCCCGACAGTCGAACCAAGGGGAGTCGCTGCCGCGACCTCTGCTTCGCCACCCTAGTCTGCCGCGCCTGGGGCCACGCAGCCGCCGCGCGCATCTGGACCCACGTCGTCATCCACATGGTGGACACGCTTTACACGTTCACCTAATGCACCCGCACCAGCCGTGCGCAGCGTGCGGCGCTCGCGCGCATCCTGGATCTCCGTTTCGGCGGATGGATGCGTGGTCCCTATTGCTTGAGTGTGTTGGCTCCGTACCTGCGGGGCCTGCGCGAGCTCCGCGTCGCGGATTGGATCACACCCAATGACCACAGTGGCTTTGGCCCGCCCGTTTCGACCATCGTGGAGTTCCCCTGCTCGTGCCCGGAACGAGTGGTGCTCAGTATTCCCGCCCCGCAGACCAGGCGCGGCGAGGAGTGGGAGGGGAGCGAGGACGGGGAGGAACAGCGGCCCCCCGCATTCGACCTGGACGCCGTGAGGAACAGCGCCGGGAGGCTCAAGCGATATCAGGCTTTGTACTCTGCTTCTTGAGTCGGTGCGGGCGCCACTTATGGAGTTGAGCTTCAGTTGGATAAGGTGGTCGCTCGACGCCGCATCCTTCCCGCGCATCGACCCGGCGTCTCTGCGGAACCTGGACACACTCGAGCTCCTCGATACGGCGTCTCCCTTGTTTGCCGATATTCTTATCCAGCTCTGGCCTCCCCTGCGCCGCCCGGTCGCGCACTGCTTCATGTTCCCAACCCTATCCACAGTACTGACCGTCCTCCCTTCACTCCCCACCATCACCCATCTGGAGCTCACCTCCGCACACGCATTCCCCGACACGACCTTCGCACTCCTCGAACAACACCCACCGCTCACGTTCCTCGGCATCCATTACCGCGACCGATCCCCCCGTAAACCGCCCCCAGAAGGCAGCTTCACATCGGAAGACCTCCAGCGCTTCCTGCGCGTCCGCGGCTCAAACCTCAGCATGGAGTAGCACAGGTCCTCGACGGTGCACAGGTCCTCGACGGTGCGTGTGGGCAGGGATTTGGCGGGGGCCAGGCAGGAAACGAGGCTCGCTGTTGGAGTTGCCCGAGGACCGTTGTCGCATTGGCCAGGGGAGAGCGGAGCGGCATTCTGATTTCTCAAAATTCGGCCCCGAATTCAAACGGACGCATTCGCCTTCATGCATTGGTAAATGAGGGTTACAATAGAATTTCATGTTTTTTTTTTTAAGTATATATTTTGTATGGATCCCTGTATAAGGTTCCGTGGTGTAGTTGGTTATCACAACAGTCTAACACACTGTAGGTCTCCGGTTCGATCCCGGACGGAACCATTTCTAAAATTTGCTAGAGTATTTCTGGAGGATCCTCCCATGCATTATAGCCTTCTGGATTGAGCTCATATCCTGACCTTTACCATGGCCCCTGGTCATGACCTGAACTTTGGCTCTGGGGAAGGACTTGTACCATGGCTCTGGATCATGACCTGTACCGTGGCTATGGGTCATCAGTTGTACCGTGGTTCTGCGTCAGAACTTGGACCATGTC